GGGGGTCCAACTCGCACTGAAGCGGGTGCAGCCAGCTTGCAGTGAGTGCTGTATCTTAACCAGTTGTGTCACCAGGGAGGGCCCATGGGGTGGGTGGATATTTAATTGGTTAACTGAAGTTTTCAATGTTCAACGTTTCAACTCACCCAGATTCAGAATAGTCGTTTCCACCTGCTCTTAGTACATGCTCCACTTCTGTAAAGCACTGGAGCAAATGAAATGACTTCATTGCTTCTCAGATGTTCTCCAGATATCTTAGAATTGCACCTGTTCCTTTGGAATCCAGAACAGTATCCAGGCTGCAAAACTATCATAGAAACACAGACAGATTGATAGAGGACAAGCAAACCCATGAGCAATGCTTAAGGGAGCCAGGATGCTGATGGGGAGAATGACCGGAAGTGCTCAGGCAGCACCGGCTGCAGGCTGCAGGCAACTCTGGGTACAAAATCTGTTGAAATATAATTTATACAAAACCAATTGCAGCAGGGTATGGAGCTAGACATTTGAGAAACTGATGAAATACTTCTGAGAATTGTGTAAGAAAGAGATAGTAAAGACCCTCGATCACTTGGAAAAACACATTTTTACTCTTTCTATATTGTTCTATAGACTTGGCTGTTGGGTCTCATTTTTGTAGAATATAAAATAGTTTTCCAAGTTTCATGTTCTTCAATGTAGACCAGTTCACGACAGAGAAATCATATCCCAGCGAAAGTTTAAGATGAATTCTCCCAATGTGTGTGCTCATCTCTGGCTGAACACGTTCTGACTTATGGGACTACCCGGCAGTTCCTGTCTCCTGCATTCACATAACTGGTAGACTTGGTGCCTAGGGAAAGGATTTGGAAGATTAAAGTCTTTGTTATTTTCACAGAGGGGAAGGGAGAAGTTCAGGCTGTAACCCCTTGGTAAATTGAAGGGCCTTATCCATATCATGCAGAGGTGGGTGGGAAGAGATTAGTTTGATAATCATCTTCCTCTAAGCTGTGGCTTTCTTATCAGCATTTTGCTGACAACTGTTAAACTCAAAACTTTAAATCTCTCACTGCAGACACCATAGGTAAAATAAAGGTGTCTCCTGGTTTAGTTCCAGGCAAGGACAGCGGTCCTGTGCTGGGACCAGGAACAAGTCAGGGAGGACGCTTTTCAGACAGGAGACTAAACATGGGGAATGGGCTCTTCAGTATAACTGAGGGACCTGCATTTGTATTCTCCCAGGCAAGGGAGAGGTTTCCTTTCTAGCTCTATGAGCCACTATTTTACTATTTTTACTTATGCTTAGAAATACCTATTATTAAAATATCTTAGAATCAAAGTTGAATTTTTTTAAACAATTGATTTCTTCCATAACCTATGCACCTAATTCTAGATGCATATACCTATACACACATGCGTATGTATATATAATTATTTTTTGTATATACAATTAATATTTTAAAGGTAGCAAACCTAGATATTAAATTTGGTAATGTCCTTTTTTTAAGCTTTATTTATTTATGCATATAGAACTAGGGTACAGGCCAGAGGTGTAGGGGCGCTGAGGATTTACCAGAGACAGAGTGGGGTGCAGAACAGGCTGATTGATGGAGTACACTGCTGAGGGGAGCAGTGGGTGGGTCAGGAGAGGTCTGCTGTGCCATGTGGATCACCTCCCTGGTAGGATCAAATTCGTGATCTGATCCCACCAGCTCAAACTGCATGGAAGAAGATTACTTTTTATTTAACGAAAATTGTGAAAACATATAAGTAATAGCAAAACAAATTTAACTCTTTCCACAGCTAGAAATATAGTTCAAATAGTGTGGCTTTCCCACACTTTGATCCCTAAATCAAAGAGTGTTGGAGAAAAAATATAGTACGTCTCATTACATATGGTCTGTAATGTTGATTACTTGGAGTTCTAGCTTTTTGTGGAACTATGTGAGAAAAAGTTAAAAAGTAAAGCAGACAATCTTTGGGCTTATGGAAAACATAAAAAAATATGAACAAAGCAATTGATCTTAGATATGATTTATTTTATGCAATCAAACAAAAGTTGGAAAGCACTATAAGGTTAATTAAAAATCAATGTCTAAGACCCAGTGAATACTGAGATATATATATGGAAATAAGACTTATGGCTGCCAAAAAGCAAGAAATGCTTTTGGTTTGGTTACAGGATTGGTTACTGTGTGTGCGGTGAGTCTGCTTCTCATGAGGGTGTCTTGTGCCTTGCTAATATGTATCTAAGTAATAGGACACAATTCCTTTCATTTTCCTCTTAACATTTACATTTTCTGCACTCGAGGCCCACTATTGTGTTATAAGATTGGAATATAACTATTAATTTTAGTTCGATGTCTTTGGGCGATGCATTCTGCTATCCACACGATATTTCTTATTTCTTGCTCCTTCAGCTTTGTGTATGCATAAAATACACCATAGTGAAATTGCCTGTTGAATGCCAGTACATTCATTTGTACCTGAGGAAGAAAAAACAATATGGACCATTAACTTATCTGGAGCATATTACATTTAGGAAATAATATTAAGCTACAAACTCGGCTTTTGCTTATGCGTGCTTTTTTTAATTTAAATAGGCAATATCCAAATTGGATTAAATAGAGGAAAAAAGTAGTAACTCACAAGGTGTAAAGGGAGACTGTCACTCTGCCCATAAAGGTAAACAGCAGTAATTTAAAAAGCACGTTCATACTGTGATAAGACAGGTACTAAACCTACGCAATACTGCTACACAGATTCCTTGGAGAGCCTTGGTATGTACATACACATTATGTGTGTGTGTAAATACACATTATGTGTGTGTGTAACTTTGTAGCAATATTTATCAGGCTACTAGCCAGTGCATTTGTCTCCTTTAGGTCAAGTATGTTCCCTTGGTCAACAGCTTTAAGATTTTAAAAAGTTTTTAGGCTGCTAAACTCTCTGTGGGGGCAATGTTACAGGCCCTTGGAATTCAGACTTTAGAGATACAATGAGCTTTCTAAGGAGGCTCTGTATTAAACTGACATATAGTAGAACTGATTTTTTTCTGTAGAAGGTAGATTAGAAAAAGAAAAGCTTTAAAAATTGTTTAAACTAAGGTAAGGTCTGAAAGGGGAACATTTCTTTATTCTTTTCCACTTTGCAAATGAGGAGGCAAGGGGCAGAGTCCTTGATACATTCTTCACGAAAACACCCAGCAAAATAGCCTGCAAGTGGAGGCCCCTGCTCTCAGGAATTGACACTCCTTTTTTCCTGCCTTGGCAGGAAAACAACCTACTTGGCAGCAGTTGTACCATGGTGTGAAATTTTAAAACATCCTAAGAAGTGAAACACAATGAAGAAATAAGTAAAAACAATGCCAGTAATAAATGAAGAAATAAGTAAAAACAATGCCAGTAATAACATATGGAACCACTTACACTGTTTTTACTTACTTCTGTAATAGACAATGGAGAGCTTGTTGGAAGTGTCTGGAGCAGGCCTTACAGGAAGGTCCTGCATTACTTTCTAGAGGCAGTCTAACCTGAAAGTCTAGGTGAAGTTCAGCGTTCTCTGTTAGTTCAATCAGACTGAGATGAAAAGGCCAATGATTTTAGGGAAGTGAACAGAATACACTAGAAAAATCCTATAAATTTGGAGGAACTTCCCTGGTGAGAAATCCTTTGCAAATCTTTTGGTTGAACAGTTTTAACAGACTAGGGGTTGACTATAAATGGATCAAGTGCTCTTCTGCTTATTTAGGATCTTAGGACAATCTAGATTCTTTGAATGTTATTGCCATGCAAATAATTCCTAAGTGCTATAACTATGACTAATATTTTATTCACAAATAAAACTTTTTGAAGAAGGAATGGATTATAGTATGAAATTCACCTAAAAGAGTGCACATCATAGGATAGTAAATATGTCCCTTGAGAATGTCCTAACTTGTTTCCCTATTTAATTATGGGATAACTATATCTACTTTCTGAAGTTTCATTAAATGCCTACTGTCTTGGTAGAGTAATTCCAGAAAAACCACCATAATGAGCCACAAGATCTTGACTGTTGAAGCCAGTGATACTAACTACTAGTCATTGGCTGTCAGACTATAAATGAGCTTAATCAATTGGCTTAGTCAACAGTAAAAAGAGAAGCTAAAGGAAGAATCCAGAGTAAGAGAAAAATAGTATACATGATAAGAACATTTCCATTTATATCATACCTCACGTTCATAAAACACATCTTCCAATGTCTTTCCCCCATTGCCATCACTTACAGCCTCAAACAAAGGCTTGTATACCTATAAAACAAAGGCAAAGAATGGGGATGAAATTCTGGCTACTGCTTTATTCAATCTTATGGGGCAAGAGGCAAAAACCATTCTATTCTCAATATACTCTGTTGGAGCCAATTTTTAAAGTTTGTATTCAGGGCTAGGCTAGGTGATACATGATAAGGCTCAGTGAGTTCTTGAGATTTGATCAATTTGGGTTTCAGCATTCCTTGAGATGATAGCTCATGAAATTCACTTAGAATTTCAAGTTTGGAAGGGGTAGAAATTGGAGAGAAACTCAAATTTTAATGTCATGCTAAAAAGCCTCTGGCAATGACACAGTCAGTGTTAAGAAGGTTTTGCCTTGTTTATTGAACTTTAGGGTGTCAAATTTCCACAGGAAACTATAAAAGGAGAGCCATTCTAAGTCCTGAAAAACACAGACCTGCAAACTGTGTATGTATGGTCTACAAATCACAAGGATGTAGTCAGGGAACAAGGTGAAACCCTTCCAGTTCATTAAGAAAAACTGGATAGTGATGTAGATAGTGAGCAAAGGGAGAGGTATAAACTAATATGCCCATATTGTCCCTTATATTTCAAGTAGACATCCTGTACCTAACCTTGTTTACCCAATGGACACTTGAAAGGCCTGTTGGATCAGCCTATTTTACATGACTCTGACATAAGCTCACATTTCCAGAACATTGACTCTGTCTCTCAGGGAACTTGCTTTATCAAGTACTTCAAAAGAAATGCTCAAATAACCACTTCTTAGATATTTAAACAAGTACTAGCTTGGCAGGAACCTTAAAAAACATGAGCTTGGGTTAGAAACTTGAAGACACAGCAAGAAATACTGTTTTTTAACTTGCAGGCATCCTATTGCCTTCAATAAGAAGTGCAAATTTGATGTGTGGAATTCCAAAGTACACAAGATGAAATAATGCGAGACATCAGGGACTCCAAAACAAAAACATACCCCATAATGATCCGCTACTCTCTTCATCTGCTCGAAGTCTTCTGCTTGGGCCAGTAGGCGTAAGCCCTCTGGATAGAGCTTGCCACACGTCGGGTAGAGCGTCTCCCGGTCATCTTTGCTCAAGTCAGTGCCAAAGGAGTTAAGAGTGATGGTAAAAGCACGTCTGTCAGCCTCAAACTGAATTTTGAAGACATAAAATCAGTGATACCTTACCATCAACTCAATGCTGTATACAGAAACTTAAGTAGGCAAATTCATTCTGCAATGATTTGCCTTCCTTTTTAGATCTATATCTAATTATAATACAGACATGTGTTATTAATATTCCTTTAGACTTCATAATGGAGTAACTTCGCTTGCCAGGGGAGCCTCACACAGCACGATTCTGGCCAGTGACTGGAGACATCACTGAACATTGGTTTACCACAATCTGCAGTTAGTTACTTACGTATCTGTGACATAGACCACTGGACCCTCAGATGTCTAGTAGGTGGGAATGATAACTACTTGTCAGGGCCCGTGCAGGGACAGAACAAGAAAATCATCGGGGGAAGTATCTAGTCTGCTGTTGGGAAGAGAAAGTACATGCTGTCCAAATTAACATCCTTCAATGACTGCTGAAGTCAGTATAATTTTTCACATCATGATACTTCATAATACAGATCATCTGCTTGTGCTTTTACTCTCTGGTTTACTTTTTTAAAAAATAATATAATAGTTTATTTTTACATCATTTTTTGCATTTTTCCATTTCAGTTGTATCTGATTTACTTTTCAAAGTCCTAGGTTCACTATCAATAAATCTAACAATCTATGCTGAACTTCTCCAAATTGGAAAAAAAAAAAAAACCTCTGTGAGGTAAGAATTATGTGACATGGGGCAAGTTATCTTTCTCTTAGGGCCTCAGTTTTTGTATTTTTTTAAGAATTAATTATTTATGCACACAGAACGGGGGTACAGGCCAGAGGTGCGGGGGTGGTGA